CACCGCCCCCCCACCCCCCGGAGTATGTGCTTTGCTTCCTGGAGTGGGGGCCCTTGTTTGTTTCCACACCAACCACAGATGGATCAGGCAGCCTCCTTGCACACCTGCAGGTTGGGGGACCCCACACTCAGGCTCACATGCAAAGGCCAAGTGCCAGGCGGGGCCAGCGCACCCTTCAGGTCTGGGTGCAGGTGTTTCCTCCCAGGCTGAGTGTGGCCCCATGCCTTCTCAGCACCCAGCGCCAGATGCAGGGGCTGGCTAACTCACATCCTGTCCCACAGCCGTGGCTCCATGAACACCGGAGCTGCATCTGTCCAGGGTCCGGGCATGGCAGCCATTCGTCTTTCCCACTACCTCCCTTTGCTCAATCAGGCCGCACCGGTAAGGGAGGGGTCATGGAGGGCGGTGCTGGGCAGGGCACAGGCGATCCGTAGTAGCCCTCGGAAGGATCAGCACACTGGGCTGGTATGGCCCCGCCCCCGCCTGCAAAGCAGCAGAGGTGGGAAGAGGGGGTGGGGAGAGAGGAGCGTGTGGGCGGGGGTGGGAAACACACAAGTGGCAGAGTCGGGATTAACTTTTTGGTTTTCAAATCCAGAGACCAGTTTGCCAGTCGCCCATGTTCCAGATGTTCTTTCAAAGGCTCCCAGTCTGGGAAGGCCGTGGGACACAGGCTACCCTTCAAAGTCAGCCTGCCCACCCTTCTTCTGGTGCTGCACATGGGGGGTCTGGCTCCCTGGTTTCAGGAAGTTACACAACCCTGGCCAGTGCCCTGCGGCCCCATCTACCACCCTGGCACAGCCCCTCCTTCTGGGACCCAGCCCCCACCTCCCTGGAAGCAGTTGAGAAGGCTCGTGTATGGGACAGGACACCCCTGGGTGCAGGACCCAACCCGACCATGCATGTGCCCCAGAAACAACGTTTTTTGCAGGGGAAGAACCAGGCTCAGGCCACACGCCCCGGACCTCGGCAAGGAGGGCAGTGCCTCATGCAGGACAGGCCAAAGGCTCTGTCCCTGGTTGAGCACCCCATCGTCACTGGTTCCAGTCTGTTCCAGCCAGCAGTTCCTGCGCAAGCCACAGAAGGGGTCCTGGTGCTGAACACAAAAGCGAACATCTTGGGTTCTGTGCAGGGCATCCCTGGCTCTCCCTCTGGTCTGTCTTGGCTGGTCACTGTGGCTGTACACCTGTCCCCAGACCAGGTCTGGTTGGGCTATCCCCATGCTGGACAAGTGAACTTCGTCCCAGAAGCCAGAAGCCCCACTTGCTGCCATCCTATGTGAGGAAAGACTCGACAGTGTGTTGAATGGTGGCCCCGAGAACGAGATGCCCACCTCCCAGAACCTGGGAGTGGGATTCTTATTTAGGAAGAGGGTCTTGGCAGATAGGACTAAGGATCTTGAGATGAGATCAGCCTGGGTTATCCAGGGGCCCTAAGCCCAGGGCAAAGATCCTTGTAAGAAAGAGAAAGCCACGTGAAGCAGCAGCAGGCTGGAGCAATGTGGCCCCAGAGCACCTGGAGCCTCCAGACGCTGCAAGAAGCCAGGATGGGTTTGTCCTGGAGGGAGGTCAGCCCTACAACACCTTGATTTCAAGCCCGTGATAATGATCTTGGACTTCTGATCTCCAGAACTGTGGGGAAAGAAACTTCTATTGTGTTAAGCCGCATGGCTTGTGATCATTTGTTACAGCAGTCGTAGGAAACCCACACAGATGGTGTCTGAGCTATGGGGACGAGGGCCCAGGTCCCTGTGCCCAGAATGCTGGCCTGCCATCAGCGTGTTGGCAGAGGCAGGACCCGGAAAGATGTGCAGGGCCTCCGCCCAGTGTGGAGGCCACTCATTCTGTCTGAGGTCTGAAGAGAAGGGGCAGCGGGCAGACAGGGTGCAGTGGGGTCTCATACCAAGAGCAACCTCGGTTCTGCTGGCTCAGGCCACAGGCCACCTCCAGTCCCTGACTCAACGTGCTGAATTTGCCAGGAAGGACCAGAGTTAGGCTCCAGGAGGGCCACCCGCAAGTGGGGAGCTCTTCCGGGCAGGGGGAGGGCAAGACACACATGCACAGACCCCAAGGGACCCCATGCACAGACACACGCCCCCGCACGCACAGGAGAGTGCACGCGCAGCTGTGTGCACATTCTCACGGGCAACCCCTCAGCACACCTGTGCGCGTGCTCACCACACATACACACTACCAGATGGGCTCTGACAGGAGCGTCCAGGGAGGAAGAATGGGGTCAGAGTACAAGAGCACCTTGCCCCTTCCTGTGGTCATGGTCCAGGACTCAGGGATCGTGTCCCTAGGACTCTGAGGCCTGTGCTCCCCCTCCTACCTGCCCCCTCCACCCAGGACAGCCTGACTGCTCTCCACTGCAGGAAGGGGGTGCTGACAGATGGGTGGAATGGCCCACCACACTGCAGGCGGTCCCCGCATCGCCACAACAGGGCCCCCAGGGCAGCTGCACGCTGTGGCCCGCGCACAGGGCACACACGGGGTGTAGCCACGCTCAAGGCGCTTCCTGGCTGTGCCTCGGTCTCATCTACCAAACAGGGACAACAGGCCCTGCTGCACACGTACAGCGGGGTGCTGGGCCAGGGGCTGGTTCTCATTCTGTGCTAATGCTGACTGCCCCACCATGAAGGCCTTTCTGTATCCCCTCCCTGTCTGTTCTGCCAGGGTACCCCAGAGGCAAGGCCTGCTCTGGGGTCTCCTTGGTCCATCCACCTGTCAGAAAGGAGTATGTGAGGTGGAGCCCAACAGGCACCCTTGTTGGCCAGGTGCTCTGCGGGCTTTTCCACTCCTCCACAGACTATGATTGGGGAGGGGGTCACAGACACCTGGCTACCTATGCAGCTGTGGGCAGGGGAGTTCAGGATCAGGACCCTCTCCCTGGCAAGCAAACATACGGTCCCAGAGCACAAGACAGCGGATCCCTGACCAGCCTGTCCAGGCCCACAGAGGGGGCCGTGGCCACCCCTCCCAGGGCCGCAGGAAATGGCCTGGCCCCACTTGCAGCCAGGGCCAGCGACTCTGGCTTCCCTTCAGGCCCGTTTCCTTTATCCGGTTGTTTTGCTCTGAGTTCACAAAGCTCAGCCTTCCCTTCCCCTCCATTTCCACCCCTTCCCCCATTCCAGAGAGGAGCAGGACGGAAACCGGACATTTCAGGGCCCGATAGAGCCCCTCCCCATCCACCCCCCCAAGCCTAGGGGAGTCCCATCCAGCGTCCCCACTCGCCCCCTGCTGCCTGAGACTGGGAGCGCAGCTGGAAGGTGGGGGGTGGGGTGGGGGCCGGCCTCGTCCAGGTGTGGCGGGTAGTCCTGGTTCCCCTACCAAGCGGCCTGCTGCCCCCAGCGCCCGCTCCTGGCCCAGGCCCAGATCCAGGGGTGGTGGGCCCCACCCCAGCAGGCGAAGAGAAGACCAGACCGCAGCACCAGCAGTTTATTGAGTCCTGGCTAGGTGCCTGGAGCATGTCCAGGGCCATGACAAGGAGGGGCCTGGGCCCAGGAGTAAGCCAACAAGAGGGAGAGGAGGCAGTCGTCACCAAATGAAGCTCGTTCCCAGGCCCCGCGGCCCCGATAGCTCTTCTCTGGCCTGCGCAGGACGCGCTAGGAGTCCTCGGAGGCTGCTGCACGCAGCGCGAAGAGCTTCTCCCAGCAGGTGGCGACGGTGTCCAGGACACGCAGGAGGAGCCGCCTCCGGCTGCGGCTGCGGCTGCGGCTGCGGCGACTCCGAGGAGGGTGCCTCTTGGGCCACCGGCTCCTCCTCCGCTGTCAGGGGCAGAAAGGTCAGCGAGTGACCACGGTCTCTGCGCCCTCCCCTCCCCCTCCCAGATGGGGACACCGCGGGACGGTGGGAGGCTCAGGGGACCTGTGGAAGGGGAGGGACCCGGGTCTGGCCCCACACACCTGGCGCATCATCCAGCAGTGGCGCTGCATCACTGCTTCGGTGCGCAGGGCTACAGTCCACGCGGCTTTCTCCAGTGCCCCGCGGCGGTGGCCCCGGGCCACTACCCTGCGCAGGGTCCGACCCAGGGACGCAATGGACAGCAGGATATCGTGCTCCTGGGAAAGGAAGGGAGGAAATTGGGGGCTGAGGAGAGGAGCTCAACAGGGAGGCCCCGGAGGGGAACAGCGTGAGTCTCCCCCCATACCTTCTGGGCACCGCAGGAAGCTCCCACCCGATCCCGATCCCGCCATCCGAGGACTGCAGCTCCAGTCAGGTTTTTCTGGATGAAATGGAGGTGTCGGGAGCCTGGCCCGACCTGCCTCACAGCAGCCTGCAGGTCCTCAAAGATGACCACACGGTAGTGGCGGAGCACGTCAGGGATGCTGCAGGTGCGGAGCCCTGCCTGACCCGGTGCGAGCCCCAGCAGAGCCAGCAGGAGCGCCCAGAGTGCAGGCTTGGGAGGCACCTGGAAGGGACACGGGGTCAGGGTGGGGTGCCCAGGCGGGCAGAGGAGACCTGCCCTACAGCAACCCCTCAGGCCATTTGCTTCGGACGGCCCCCTACCACAGCCACCAGGGACTCTCTGAACTACAGTAGAAAATGAAAGGTCACTGTGCCATTCATCACCCAAGCATGGGTCTAGCAGGACAAATCCCTTCCTGTTTCAAGTCTGAGGGAAGGATAGTAGGCCTGCGAACCAGAAAGCTCAATGCTTGATGCATAGATTGGCGGGCTGGAGGATGGCCAGGGGTGAGGGTGAGGGTGGGGGGAGGCGGGCTGGGAAGGCAGGCCCACTAAGCCCTGAGGGGCCAAGA